GCTTCTCAATTATCAGTGACTGCGGACGGATGATGGGGATGTCGTGTTGGGAGAGCTATTGCAGGACGCACATATATTCAATGTCTTGAAAGCTGTATCTCAAGTTGCAAAGGAAGGCATGGTTGAGGTGCTCGAGCATCCGCCGTTCACGGATGATATTTCGTACGCTTTCCGACCGGACAACTACCCAAGAAACGAGCATCTAATGTCAGCGTGCATTGAGGCCCTCGTTTGACAGCCACATACCTTCTTCCTTCCGAATATATTTCAGCGCAAACGTCAACCCGGTGTCCTTCTTCTCCACGATGCGAACCTTGCCGAACGCACCCTTGCCAACCACCCGCAACAAACGAAACTGATTCAAATTCACTGCGCCACTGTCAGCCCCTCCGCCGCCTATTATTGTCTGCCAACCCGATACGTACACTCATCGGTGGCGGCCACCTGTTTCCCTTGCGAGTTTCCCATTTAGACAGTTGTGTAACCACAGACGTTGGAAATCTTGTTCTCGGTCACCAGTAGCAACATCCCACTGGAACTACAGTACTCTCGACCTTTGAATCTGGAGTGCGAGGGGTGGTAGTCGAGAGAAATCTCGCAGAGGCGAATCGAGAGAGGAGAGGGAGTGGTCGAGGGGGAGTAGGGGATGGGGGGGGGAGGCGAATTGATTGAGGGAGGTCGTAGGAGAGAAGGATAGGAACTTTATAGGCGATGAAGATGAGGTATGAACATGCAGACCTAGACAGGATGAGACAGGTATTAGTTAGAGGGAAATAATTGCGGGAAGAGTGCAGAGGTCTATTGAGACGGGGGAACGTGGGCGGAGGGGCTGATTTTCCCGATTCGCAAAGGAGATAAATAGCAGCAGACTTTTGGGAGGAGTGAAACATACCCCAATGAAGAGCGGTGATGGAAGGAAGTAAAAGGGAAAAAAAGGTAGAGAGAGTTTTGGATGGAAGACAAGTACGAAAAGTCCCGACGAGGACAACCAAACGGAGGCCTGGTCGGGGGGAAGCGAGAGAGAGAGCGCGAGAGCGTGAGAGGGAGAAGGGGGGCGGAAAAGAGCAAGTGGAATATGGGATGGAATTCCGAGTAATAGCAAGTAGCAAGCAGCGGCAGCACAGCAGCAGCAGTAGCCAAAAGGTAAGAGAGGAACGGGGGCAGCCCCTAAGACGGAGGAGATGATGAGTTAAGTTAGTTACTTTTCTGACCAGCAAGGCGGGCCGAAAGTAGTCGGTCGCCTGTACACTAAAACTACCGCGCAGAAAGTTCCCCTACTCGCCCAGTTCCCAGTTGGCCCTGCTGACGAAACCAACCAGGATGGAGCCCAGGGACTTTGCAAATGATGATGATGATGGAGATTGAGGTGTGATGTTTTCTTTTTATTTTTTATTTTTGCCCTTTAATTCTTGGGTTTTTCTGTACTTACCTTTTTATTTTTTTTTTGGTTCTCTTTGAGTTTGGTCTTGTTTTGCTTCTTCACGGTATTAACTTTCGTTCTGGAACCCAGCCAGAAGGAATACGACAATGCAGAAACCTCCAATGCAAACAGAAACAAGAGGAGGGAAAGGGGGAAAGAAAATGTATGGAAGAGGAGAGAGAAAGCGAGACGAAGCGATAGAGGGAAGATGAGCTGTCCTCAATACGAGGCGTAATGGCCCAGGTGACTGGATTAAACTATGGGGTTCACCAGGACGGGTTCTTGGGTCGGCACTGGGTAAGCGAAGTCGAAAGTCTGGAGAAATCCAAGATGAAGCGATGGATGGAAAACCTTCGTAGCTTGGAACCGGCTACACGGTAAGACACGGTGTATATTTACAAGCTCTGACCAGTTCAAAAACTCTACAAAATAGACTTATCTTGAATAGCAAGAAGAGATGTGGAAAGGAATAATATGAAACATAAAGAGAGAGAAATAGCGGCGGTGAGGAAATGGATTAGGGTATACGGAGTGGAGGAGAATTAATTCTACCAATTGATTAAAAAAGAAAATAATAATTTATTAGTAAAAAAGTAGAAATAAGAACTACTCTAAAAATTTACCCAAGTGAAGATATTTACTACTCCTTCACTTAGTTAATGAGATGGAGTTATTCTGATGGAGACTACGGAAAAGGGGATGGTTTAAACCCAGGAGAAGTGCCGCTTGGGCCCACGAGGGAAAGGCGCGCCGGCAAGTGGAAAGAGAGATACGGAGTCGCAAGGGCGAAATGCGAATGGGAGACGGCCTGGATGGAGCAAGTCAAACAGAAAAGACTGGGCCTGCGGTGGAGAGCAGCAGCTTCACTAACTACTCCGTAAGTTAAAAGCGGTGGACGCCGTGGGTGACATCGCTAGAAGGGATGATGCGCCGAAGAGGTCTGGAAAATCTGCACCTGCAGGCAAGCAGATGGACTGCTGTACTATCTATCTTCCCTGATGCAGCAATAGTTTGCGTTTGCCAGCCTTGCCGGTCGTACTTTTTATTTTTTTTTTTTTTAATCTTATTTTTTTTTCTTAAAAATTTTACCAACATACCAGAACTCTACTAAACCTGCACCAGGCAAGGAACATCCATCGAAGCACCTTGTTTCCTTCCCCACTGCTGCCGACCGAGAGTTTGCTTTTCCCTTAAATCCCCTGTGCGCCTCTTTGCTTCTTCCTTTGCTTGTTCTTTGTCTCTTCTCCGCCTCTTCCAAACTTTCTTCCCGTGAATACCATCTGTCTGGTATTTGGTCTTTTTTCTTTAATTTCCTTTCTCTCCCACCGCCATCCTTTCCGCCTCGTGCTTCATCCCCCATCCCAATCTGAATGGCCCCTACATGCCAGCCGAGTGGCCCCAGAACTAGTAGTCCTCTGACTACATAGTACATCTGGCCTGGCCCATGTCAGACCTCCTTGAAACCCTTTTCTGAGTTTGTGCGTGGCTATAGCTCGTGGCCGCCACGTTTTTGATTGACCGACCGCGCGACCACTTGGCCAGTCATACCAATAGGAATGCGCTGCCCAACCTTGGTGCTGATGAAGTGGCGGTTGGGGCCAGAATCACCACACACTTCGTACACCATCCGAATTGCCCATACGGGTTTTGCCCGGGAGGGGTTCTATCTGGTCTGGACAGGCCTCAAGCCTCTCTCTGTCTTATCCTCTCGCCCAACATAAGTCAGATGTCCCCTATATTTCACACGAACTACGAATAATCCGCAGATCATCTGGGCTGGTTTGACTCTCACGCTAGTTGCATCTTCATCCCGGTCCAACCTGGTCTGGCGTTTCAGGTCGCCGTGGCCTGGGCGCCTGCATCCATATGATTCCGGTCAACGTAGAAGCAACCAGGGTGCTGCACTCTATCTGCTTGTGCCACGCAGCCCACGCTGGCCAATCCACTATCCCTTCTTCCCCCCATGCCTGCACTAAGGTTCTGCAGCAACTATAACGACTGCCACCATCACCTCGTATCCTTCGGAAAACAACTTGATGCATCAAAAAGCTTCACTTCCTCCCCAGGAGCAGGAGTCCCAATATACTGGCTTCCCAACCTGCTGATGCTTATTGATTAATCCCACCGCACGATCATCCACTTAGCGGGGCGGGTCCGACCCCCAAATCCTTTTTAGCCCAGAGATTTGGTGGACCCGGCCGCCCATCCCATCCAGCTTCGTCTCGCCAACGGTGCTGATCTTCTGGATCTAGACGATTTTGAGCTTAGACTTGGCTGCGTAGGCTCCCCGACACCAAACTTAGCTTTCCCCCTACTCCGTCTCGGCATGGTGCATCCTCGCCCGTAGTCCGCTTTCAGGATGCCACGGTCATATTCAGTATGTTCGAAGCTAGGACAGCTGCCGGATGTCTTCCCCGGTGCTATAGTTAGATTTGCTCTGGCCCTAGCCGATATTTTTCCTTGCACGCGCTCGATACGGGGGTACATGTGGATGCAAAAATAGGAGCAAAAAGGTATGACAAGAGTGGGACTCGAACCCACGCCTCTTTCGAGACTGCAATTCATCCAGTTGAACTGGACAAGCTATTCACTTGAGTGCAGCGCCTTAGACCACTCGGCCATCTTGCCTTGATGACTAACTCAGGGCTTTTACGTCTTATACTGCAGAGAAGGGGAATCGAGGCAAATGGACCTGTCATATCTCGGAAGTCAAGATACAGTGTTGTTATCTCGACCTGTCAGTTCCGTGAGGTCTCTGAGTAATGATAATTATCTCCGCAATCAGCCTCACTGGAAAGCGGCATCATTTTTCGGAAAAAAGAAAAAGCACGAGGATATTTGTGTACGCGGGACTGGTATATGTCAGTCGCCCTGCTTTTGCCCGTGAAAATGAGTAGTTCCCCACCCACATTTCATCTACAACTGTACTGGATACACAAAACCAGTTGGACCCGGCCTACAGTTTAGAGTTACTTGATAGTCAAACTAATGAGACTATTTACTGCATGCGCTATTCATCGATCTAGACGCTCTGGTGATGACCTTGAAAATGTGTCTTTCTATGGTAGCCCACATGAAATAAAGTACAGACATGTATATTAATTAGTTTGTTCAAATACAGCATACTATCCACCTAACAGCACCATCATAGGATCCAGGAGACATAACATAGATGATCAATAATTCGAACAGACAGGACCATCTGTAGATTCCATACTCCCCAAATATCCCCCAAAATCCATAGTACGAAACCAACAAAACATATTTCCATTTACAATAACACCCCCTTCAACCACGACCCCCCATAAAATACCAATAATGCAAAACGATCCATATCAACAGGCAAGATGGCCGAGTGGTCTAAGGCGCTGCACTCAAGTGAAATATCTTGTCCAGCAATAGCTGGATAGCATTGCAGTCTCGAAAGAGGCGTGGGTTCGAGTCCCACTCTTGTCATGATCTTTTTTTCCATTGATTTTCATTCTCATCATTCCATTGATCACGTGTCATTCATCCCCCGCAACCAGCCCCACCCCAACCTCTCTTGATCCGAACTTTCGGAAAAACAAGGTACTGGATAGGCAAGATGGCCGAGTGGTTTAAGGCGTCGCACTTAAGTCGTTGGAACATTTCCTGGTTTGGTTTATTACAACTGGACTGGTAATCGTTTGGCGGAAATGCGATCTCGTAAGAGGCGCGGGTTCGAACCCCGTTCTTGCCATTTCATTTTTCTCACTTTCATCCTGTTTGTTTTTTTTATGTCTGTTGACTTTTATTTAATTGTTATCATCGTTGCTATAAAATACAGACAATTATGTTCATCTCTCTTCAACTCTTGTACTATTAAGTATCTATCTATCACTATTAGGAAGAAAACAAGCTCAGGCCGTTCTTAGGTGTCCAACAAAGACCACTACTATTGCATATCAATTCCTAGCACCAGGTGAACGAACATCCAGAGGAAAGTAGAAATAATACAGCCCCTAGATAAAATCCTCAAGCCTATATATATCGTCTCAATGCCGTTTACTTCTGTCCCTCTCCTCCGGCTGGATGTGGACCATCCGGATAGATTCAGTCTAAGCTCGTGGGGATGTCATGCAGGGATCAATCGGGGTTGAATGGATAGGGGTCATAATATGCAGTATTATTGATCTATCATATTATTATCTTGGTTATTGTCTATGTCTTTGCGCCTTAGTACTGGTGTTTATAGTTAGATCTGTGAGGTGTACTTAAGTTGGATCATAAAATGGGATGTATGGGTGGGGCGGGCTGTCAATATATATTTGCTCCGCGGTTGGGGACTGCATGGTACTATTGACCAGCACTGAGAATGAAGGAAAGAGAAGTACATATTACCCAAAGTATATTGAGAGGATGTGACTATGGTTTCTTTAAGAGAAGCCATATTTTATTCAACATAAAAAAATAACTTATAGGTTTTTGTAGAGACGAAAGAGGGCACTTATGGCTCTTATATAACTATATTGTAACTAATAATAACCTTTTATAACTGCAAATAACTATTCAAATGATAACCACTAGCTGTCTTTGTTATACCCTCGTCACGCAGCATCTGGAGCTTTAATCCAATGTTGATGTACTCACATCAGTACTGCTACTACTACTAAATGCTCATTCTATGCCCAAAAATGACAATCTCAAACACTTTATCCTATCAACGAGAAATGACCTATTCACAATTGAAAAATCAAACAACCAACTCCCCACTCATAACCCGCACCGCACTTCCCCTCAACTCCACCGTCTCAATCTTCTTCTCACCACCAGTACTCTTCGTACTAACAGCAACACTAATATCCGACCTCCTGCCCATCTCCACCCCCTGTACAATATCATACTCGACATTCCCCTCACCAGCATTAGTCAAAGCCAAATAACTCGACAACCCACTCGCCGCACTGCCCGTCGCCGGGTCCTCAAAGTTCCTCAACAACATCCTCGACCGGATGACCTTCTTCCCTGTCGCTTCATCATGAACCCCAGGAACATAGAAGTAAACGACAATGAGACCAGCACCTTCCCACCCCTCATCAAGGTATCCGCCTTGCGAGACAGATTTGCAGGGAATGACTTCCCCGCTCACGGGGGCTTCCGTGGCAGCCAGCGCCTCCAAGCTGGGCAATTCAACCAAGACCTGGCTCATGCCTTTGACGATGGAGAAGACCGGGAAGCTAGCATTCTTCTCGTTAGAGAGGAAAGGAGTCAAAGAAGGATGCAATCTCAGCATCTCTGATAGCGGGAACCGCGATGAGTGGATGTGCACGTTGTGTGCGATTTGAGCGGCCACTACACCGCCATCTGATGAAGGCGATACGCGAGAAATGGCGAATGGACCGGCTTTCGTGAGAAGAGTCGTGACATCTTTCCTGTCGGACTCTTCCGGAGAATGCTGCAGGAACCAGGAGACTGCGCCGATGGTGGGGTGGCCGGCGAAGGGGAGTTCTTCATCTGTAGTAAAGATGTCGATTTTGCGGACGGAGGGGGTGGCGGGGTCCGTGGGGTGGATGAAGATGGTTTCAGAGAGGTTGAATTCACGGGCGATGGTTTGTTTTTGGGACTGTGTGATGGTGTTGTTGGTAGGGAGGAAGACCACGCCCAGCGGGTTGCCGGAGTAGGGGGTGGTGGTGAAGACGTCGAGGGTGAGGAAGCGGAGGGATTGGGTCATTTTTAATTGTTGATATCAACTTATTCATTCAATAGTGGTATATGTGATTATTTTAAGGGTTGAGGAATGGATGGGATCATGGATGGTGCCGAAGTATAGATATAGCTGGGAGGAGAAAAGTGTATGAGTCATGACGTGAAGGGATTGGATCAGGCGATGGTGGGGAATCTCCACGCCCTCCGAATAGCACGCGGATATCCCAGGAACCATACTTCTCCAGCTCGGTTAGAAGTGATGGCTCCACTAGAGGCTGCAAAATGCCGGCACTTGTGGATGGGGTTTGATTTGACAATTGGGATGCCAGAAACTTCTTTCGGTGTGCGGCATGTTCTCCCCGGTGCTTGCACGTGGAATGCTACCCACAACGTCCGTTGGTCGGGACTTCTAGTCTACTGGTGCGATGCATGTTATGCTTGGGATGCAGTAGCAGCTGATCGCATCTTAATCATATCTTCTGTAGCGACCTGGATAGATCCGGTGTGAATCAGCAAGTTAAATTACAACTGCTACTTCCGTTAGGAATGCTGCAATGTGCCCCACGACATGTAGACAGGAATCTCTAATGCCAAATAAGCATCTAGACTCATGATTTAGTTTTCAGCTCAGAGACTACCGCAGATTAGAGTCCCTTGCTTTTCGCAGGTCCAAAGATTTGCGCGACCACGTGTCTCTTGAACCATTGCTCGTTCTAAGCAAGGGGAAGTCTGTGTGGATGGCATACGCTAAAGATCCGGCACCATCGAGTACCCACCTGACGAGCTTATTCCAGTAGTCTGATGTTGCCAGACCAGATGTAAAACAGTGAAATCAGACTAGTTGCTGAATTTGGGATTGGATGGCTGCCTAGCTCAACATTGAACTACTCAAGTATTGTAGAAGATGCATTATAGCAAGAGGGCCTTGTAGCGCCGCCTAGCATAATCAGTGCCTAGGAATGCATAATTGCTCTGTTGCGCCCGAGTAGTCCAGGTGCACAACACCTAATCTAGTGCTCACATGGCTCGGGCAACGGTAGTATTGATTAAGAAGGGAGGGTGAAGTGATTCATGAACTGCCATGCCTATGTTTCACTCAAACAATCAAGACTTTCCACAAGATAATGTATCATATAGCAAGGGCCACTGATATTTGCTGAGATTCACAGGCTGATTGGTAAGAAGAAAGTGGAAGCGCAGGTTATTTCCTGTCTAGGTAGGCGAGAGGTAAATTGACTATGTAAATGCTCTGACACCACGTAGGCAAGCTGATCTGTTTAGGTAGCTCTTTAGTAAGAAAACTGCCTAGCTAGTTGGTTTCAGAAGCACAAACCTCATACTTAGTTGCCTGTTGTGCATGCGTCAGCATCACAGCCCCATGCCGAGATAGCGTTGATGACGAAGTATCGTCGAAGAGGCATAAAGGCAGGCTGTGCAATAGTATACTGCTGAGGAAGACATCAAAAGAAGAAAGATACACTTGTTTCATGTCTAGGTTTGCCACGAATACACGTAAGGAGACGAGAGAGGATCCTGCATAACTCTGATAAGCTGAGCCACGGCTGCTGTCGAACCTGAGCGGAACCGACACGTTGTTCGATCGCATTTCTGATGTCATTCGCGACATGATCTATAGAAAATCCGGCCATTCTCCACAAAGTATGTTATCTCGAGACTTTCACATCAGATCCCAAACAAGTAGGCACTGGGATGATGTTGGTTGGACAGTCAAGACTCCACTACATTTGCAGATAACGTAAGGGATGATATAAGTAGGTGCGGCTCGTATTGGTCGTCGAAGGCTCAAGAAGACGTTCACTGAAGCAGAGCCAAGTGTAACCAACAAGGCTTGTCCAATGCTTTGTGGTGAACAAGCAAGCCGTGGGGATCGACGCGGCTCCTTATCCATCTTATGTACATATACGAGAGGGAGTTTGCGGTCTGACGGCCTGCAGTGGCTCAGTTGTATCAGAATGCCGCAGGGGATGACTCTACTTGCGGGCCAGAGCGGAATATGTTTGCGTGGGAGACAGTGCGATCTGTTTACTGTGCAACCTGATCGGCACGGTCATATCTAACTGGCTTGTCATATTCTGCAGGCTACGCTGTTCGCTTAGCTCAGAATACGGCTCAGGGCGTTGATCCCGTCTGGGTTACGACCAGCAAAGTTAGGTTTGAGGATGGGATGAAGCGTGAAGAATAGTGAGATAATGGTTTAGCCCCAAGAAGGTAGACGGGTGGATTGCCGGGAGAATCCTCCAATAGCCCTGAGGACACGAGGAAAGTGTATCGAGATACTGTGATGCTAAACAGAAGTAGAAGGTGGCAAAGTGCTGATCGTTCGATCTGACACGCTCCCCCCACCCAACAGACTCGGATTTCGTCCCATCGATGTTGCGGGTAGGGATCATCAAGGCTCCACTTGGTAGCAGGTGGAAAATAGCCACGGATTCTGGCATTCCTTCGTCGGAGAGTGATAACCTCCGATGCCTCGGGATAGATTCCGCTTAATCTAACATCGGCGTTGAATTCCGGAAAACGCCATTGTAGAAGCTTTGAAATGTCCGAAGTGATTCTTAGTCTAGCAGTTAGTCGAAGTGAATGGAGAGGTAATATCTACCATCTCCATAAGAGGGAGTTTCTAGGGATAGCGACCGACCACGCAGTACTATGGTGGTAGGAAAATCAATCGAGATCGCCCGGTCACACGTGGTCGCAGCGCCACGAGAAAACCGATAAGATCATGGTCTGGTGGAGGAACCTAGCAGGTAACAACTTGACCATCTTCTAACCGGGCTGGTAGGGCGTCCATTCAGGCCGATCTTGCCTGTGCTTGGTCTGCCCACGCGAAGAACGTTGTAGATGACTAGTCACTAAATTAGGGTGGGACTGAACCACGCCAGGAGATGTTGGCTGAAGGAGGGTGAAAGAGGGGAAGAAGGAAGGGGGCGGGGACTTGCAGCCGAGCAATGACCGAATCATATTTGTTGCGAGAGGAGGAAGGTATCTTGAGTTCGAATCTGACCACAATAGCGGGCAAAAAGGTTCAGAGTGTTTCAGCGGGATGCGACAGCAAGAAGCACCGCGACCAGCACAAGGCCGATGGAAGCAGGATTGTGATGGGGGCCAGAATGGGTGCATATGCCCGGGTGGGCTTAGCATCCACCAGCCATGACCAGCGGGCTTGCTGACGTCCTGTGCGGAGATCCCCCATCGTCGTTTCGTATTCCTTCTGATTCATCGCAACAGGAATTAGAAGGATCTGGCCTGCCTGGGAGGATTGCGTCGAATATGCTGCAGCATACTACTTACTAACTGGTCCACAACCCCTGTCGTTCGTTTCCTTGCGTCTAGCGGATGACCCGATCCAGCTTATTATTATCATCTCTTACCGCCGAACAAACAAGAGATACTTCTTCCGTCGTCATCGCAATTCATCCCCAACGTCGAAGATTCAACATCACCATCTATCTACAAAGAGAAACGAGAAAACAATAAAAAGAGTGAAAAAGTGACAAACACAGACAGACAAAGAAAGAAAGAGAGAGAAAGATAGAGTCAGCTCGATCATCGTGATGGAACAACGCAGTTCCCCGGCCAGATCGCTAACCCCGCGAAAAACCACCACGACCCCCCAGCTCAGTTGCGAACTCTGTCGCAAGCGCAAGGTCAAGTGCGACAAACTCACCCCCTGTACCAACTGTGCTGCTTCGGGCACGGTCTGTGTCCCCATCTATCGCACACGACTGCCCCGAGGCCGACATGCTACTCGTCCGCGTCGAGTGTCATCGCCTCCGCCCACATCAGCTCCTGGGGAGACCGATCGGATGATTCAGCCCACGGTCCCTGTCAATGAGGATCTCCAGGAACGGATACACCGATTAGAAGCTCTCATCCATGGGATGAGCTCCCACTCCCATACACGAACTCCGTCCGCAACTTCGCGGGAACAGGTGGGTTACACCCCTGCTATTTCAGCCTCGCGGAATGCTGACCTCGGCAATGACCAGTCCGTCCAATTGTCCGACACTTCCACATTCCAAACGGCCCCTAATCCTAATACTTCCCCCATTTTAAATAGTTCTATTGTTTCTAAGCGTCTCATGTTGCAACGGCCCGATCAGTTCTGGGCCGACTTGGTGGATGAAGTAGGTCTGCCAAATTGGACCAGGAAGGAAAGATTGCTGACGCGGACACATGCAGATTCACGGACTCCGCGATGTGGTCGAATCATCGCTGGCTGGAGGACAAGAGGGCCCGATCCCTTCCTCCGACTCGGCCAAGGCCGAGCCACCCAATGATGACGGAATCCAGGTTCTTGGCCTGGGGGCTAGCAATCCTTCTGCAGCCCTACGGTCCATGAGTCCGCTGCATAATCCGGTGGTCGCTCGTCAGCTCTGTGAAGTGTACCTCCAACAAGTCGACCCCGTGATCAAGATCCTCCATCGCCCGTCGCTGAACCGATGGATGGTTCAGGGCGAACCCTATCTGGCGTACGCCGATGGCCACCCTTCAGTAGAAGCACTGGGTTCCGCCGTCTGCTACTCGGCTATTAGCAGTATGACGGAAAACCAGTGCTCAGTAATGTTTCATGCCAACAAGCCAAATTTGTTGGCTGAGTCTCGTGTGGCTTGTGAGACGGCCATTGGCCGTGCAGGTTTACTCACCAGCCGCGATATTACCGTCCTGCAAGCGTTTATTTTGTATCTGGTATGAATCGGACCTGACCCAGAAAGAAGCGAAATCAGACTGACTTTCTCTAGGTAGCTAGGAGATCGGAAGATCGGACTCCGGCTGTCTGGACTCTGATCGCGCTGGCTGTACGAATTGGAAAAGGCCTCGGTCTTTACCTAGATCCTGAGACAGAGACCTTTTTCGATCAGCAGATGCGGAGGCGCCTGTGGTTTACCATTTGCCTGATGGATTTGCAGGCCTCATTCGGTCAGGCATCCGAGCCACTTATCAGCGTCGACGAGTCGGCATCCACAGCTCTTCCTCACCACATCAATGACTCGGACTTTGATCCGACCACGGCTGCACACTGCGACCCCAACCGGGAGGGTCTGACAGACACGACCTTTGCGCTGGTTACCTACCATGCACAGCGGACGGGTCGTCTTCTCAACTTTGCTCAACACGATCGCAAGGTCGACGGGGGCATTTCAACTCCCGCATCCTCTACCTCCGGCACTTCAACATCCCGCTCCCGCACATGCGACCCCAATTGGCCGCAGCAGCAAGCCCGGCACTTTGAACAAGAAGCACTGCGACTCCTCCATTTCTGCGACCCCGGCACCTCTGCGTACGCGTGGTTCACCTGGCACGGCACGCAGAGTCTAATAGCGACGGTACGACTGGCAGCCGCACGACCGCTTCAGTGGCACGGACGAGCACCGCCGCCTCGCCGCGAGGGTAACACCGAACTGCTGCGTCTCTGCCTTCCCGTGCTGGAGAAAGCGCAGCTCATGCACACGGATCCCCGCGCCGAGGGCTTCCGCTGGTACGTGACAATTCCCTGGTACGCGCTGGCGATGGCTTTGGCGGAGTGCTATGTGAGCAGCGACACTGCCCTGGTGCGGTACGCCTGGCCGCTGCTCGAGTCGTCGTACCTGCAGCATGAGGCGACGCTGGGACGGTCTCTCGGCGGCCCGTTTGGGCAACTCATGCGGCGTATGAGAGAGAAACTGGCCGTACCAGCCGCACTCCCACCGAGCAGTCTCCCTAGCACCAGCTGGAGCCCAGCCACTCCGCCAACATTTTCGGGCGTACCTCGGCCGCAGAGCAGTAATGATGATCGACTTGTGTCCGGTTGCTCTTGGCCGGTGCCCACCGGATCCACCCCGCCTGCGGATCTGGAGATGCCGTCTCTCCTTCCGGTATCCACCTGGGAGGCGCTCTCGCCGCCGTCGTTGGACAACCCTTCTCTCTTCGGGGTACCTCCAACGACGACGGCGGTGGCGGACGGGATGGATCCGGGGGCGGATATGATGTGGGAGGAGCTGTTCTCGGGGATTCCGTTCAATGAGATCGCGGGGCCGGATATGTTCTTTTTTGATATGAACTGGGGGAGTTAATAGTAGCTGGTGTGGCTTGTTTAGTGCTGTTTTGCTAGTAACGATGAAATGATTGTGATTGAAGCGAGAATCTGAATCTAGACACACTTGGCGATTCCTTTCAGACAAGACATGAACCTGTTTAGTAGTTGTGGGTGGCGGGGTTAAAACCCGCAAAAGACGATTAAAGGCCGATGCCAGTGCTTAAATATTTATAGTTCTCCTAGTGTTGTTGATGCAGTAAGCATACTGTTCAATTCTGAAACAAACACGAGTAGTACTAAATCCTCTTCTAAGCCTAACACAGCAATAGATCCCCATGAATTTACCACCGTACCTCTCCCTCTATCACTCCCTTCCCCTACCACATCCCCACCCTTAAGCACTAAACTAGTAGCCACTACTCAAACCCCTCTAAGCATCAAAAATCGGCCTCTTAGCCCTAAAAACAAAAACACTCCCAACGACCCAAGTCTGCACCTCCCAAAAATTATCCCTAAGGGCCCTCTCAAACTCAAATGCATTATCCTCCTCATTATGGAAAACCCCATGATTCAAACACCCACGTCGAATAATCGCCGCAAACCAATTATCCTTCCTGACCCCCTTACCCAGCACATTCGCACCATGAACCACCCCGTCCTCCGTCATGTATTTCTTGATGTGCGTGAAGATCTTGCATTTGCTGGCCATGGGGACGGGCAGGCAGTGCAGGAGGTAGTACATTGACACGGAGTCGAACTTTTGTTTCTCGTTGGTGGAGTAAGTGTCGGGGAAGGGTGAAGGTTGCAGGATGTCGGTGACTATGCCGTGGGTTTGGGTGGAGGGGTGTTTGCAGCGCGCTAGGGCCACGTTGAGTGCGTGCGTTTCGTTGTCCACGATTGTGAGGGTCGTGCTGGACGGGATCTGCGCTTGGTTGAGGTAGTAGCCGGTGCCGGCGCCGATGTCTAGGTGGTTTTTGCCCACGTTGGACCGGAATAAGGGGATTAGGTAGGTGCTGATGCGGCAGCCCCAGGCGAGGGTGCTCACGATGCCGAGCACCCAGATGTCGTAGATGAAGAGGCGCCAGGGGGTGTAGATTTGTTCTTGAGGTTGGGGTTGGGGTTTGGGTGGGGTGGAGGTGGTTGTTGTGGTGGTGATGGTTGAGGACATTTTGAATTGATTTGATGGAAGGATTGATTGATTGAAGTGTTGAGTTATGCTTGTTGTTTTTGAAGTGATTGTGTTGTGATGATGATGGTGGAGTTGTTCGTGGCGGAGAGACAATTTATAGTTCATCCTCGGAGAGTATACAGTGTCAGATCGGACAGGACTTCGGAAAACGTCAAAGACGCAGTTGCATGCCACATGGACATGAAACTGATGCAGAAACAGAAATAAAGTTAGAATCCGACGCAAAACTGAACGGACAACTAAGGACTTACTCCGACCTACTCCGACCGGCTTTTGATAATGTCACCATCGGATTCATATTGTGGGGGCCAAACGCTTCTAGTCAGACTATACACCGAGCGTATACTAATCCGTCCGGCAGAAATTGAGAGAAATTGATAAAATAGAGCAAGTCATGGAGAGTAGAACCATAACAACACATTGCCTATACTCTACTGATCGAAGACAATGGCCCCTCCCATCCTAATCATCGGCGCCGGCCTCTCCGGCCTCACCGTCTCCCGCAGTCTCACCAACGCCTCCATCCCCAACATCGTCTTCGAAGCCTCCACCCCCGACCGCACCCAAGGCTACGCAATCAGTCTCCGTGAATGGGGCTACACCTCCCTCCTTACAGCCCTGGGCGACCTGCCTCTCCGCAGTCTTACCCGGGGCGTCGCCCCGGACCGCATCCTCGGCGGAACCGGCTGGATCGACCAAGCCCTCCGGGACAACCATACCGGAAACCTGCTAGTTGCTCCAGACCCAGAAGCCAAGCAATGCATCGTGCGGGCAAACCGGAATGCCCTCCGCACCTGGATCGCCGATAGCGGCGACGAGGAAGTGGACATCCGCTACGGCCACCGTCTCCGCAGCGTGCAGGGCTCAATGGGCAACGTGACGGCCACTTTCGAGAACGGCGCAAAATACCAGGGCTCACTTGTCATCGCAGCTGATGGCGTGCACTCTACTGTGCGCTCTCAGATCCTGCCCCATGTGAGCCCGGATATTGTGCCCGTGGTGGTGTACCATGGGGAATTGGAACTCCCGCGCAAGGAATTCGATAATCTTATTCGTCCGCACTCCGGACCGTCGAATATTCTAGCTGGTGTGGGCGATGGGTTTAATACACCTATTACTGTGTGTAATATCACCCCGACGCATGTCCATCTCGATTGGTCGTATTCGAGACCGAGTATAGCCGATAAGGATACCGAGGATCCCCTCTATCGGCCGCATGTCTCTGCCGCGGAGGCTAAGCAGATTCCTCCGGCACTGCTGGAGGAAATTGCGTCCCGGGATCTGGCGAGGCCGTGGTCCCAGCTGCTTAATGCTGAGGCGTTGCCGACTCATCGGGTGTTCAACTGGGTGAGTCGGTGTGTGTCAGTGACGAGGGAGGATGTGAATGCTGCGCAGAAGCAGGGGGTGGTGTTTATTGGGGACTCATGGCATGCGATGCCGATTTTCGGAGGTGAAGGGGGTAATCATGCCCTGGTTGATGCGGTGGAGCTGGCGGAGGCGTTGGCGGGTAAGCAAGGGGAGTTGGGTGCTGCTGTGACGGGGTACTATGATCGTGCGTGGAGACGCTGTCAGGAGGCTGTGAGAAGGTCTAGGCAGAGGTTCTTCCAGTTGCATCGGCCTATGAGGGAGTGGATGGAGATTGCGAAAAAGAAGAAGATGATGGCTGCTATGAAGGAAGTGGAGGCTCATTGATTAGCAGCTGTATCTGGTATGCTGGGAGTTATGTTTGTATGTCGAGATAGTTCATTTAGTTCCCCACTGAATTTGGAGTTGATTGTATGCAGTGCATTGATAGCTTGTGGGATAACCCATATAGTGTTTGCTATGTTTACTACAATATAAGAATTATCAATATTATGTTCGGTCGTCAACTATAATAGGAACAACTGTTCTAGTAACAATAATGGGCTTATGAATCTGATTTTCCAAGTCATGAACTGTGCTTGCGACATATTGGTCATGGAATGAGAGTAAGCCACCATTTAATTATCACTGAGCATTGGTCTAGCTATTCAAACTGAAGGACTATACTCAGCACAACTGGTATGAACAAGAACAGCTACTAAATACAAACAGAGTTCTGGAATGAATCTACAACCTCACCGCAGCTGCAGCTGGCTGCCCAACTGCAAACCACCGTCTCTGACTCGGCTCTCCCTCAAACCCAACCTTCCGATCCTCCGCCAACTTCCACAGAACCTGACTCAAAAACGGCGTCAAAGCCTGCTCAACCTCGTCCGGAATTCCTCCATACATAGAGTTAATAAGCTCCGGAAATGTTAGAGCGCCCGCACGACGCCCTCCCCCGGTCGCTGCCATCTTCGCCCGACTTCTCTCCAACGCGGTCAGTACCTGCCGCATCCTCGACTCTTTATGCTGAATATATTCCTTCATCTTAGCGGGAAGATCCTCGATGCGTGTTCCATGCGCTGGATACCCGACCGCGCAATTGAGGTCCGCCATGCGTGACAGGCTGGTCATATACGTGCCTAAATCTTCCACGACGGAGTATCCGTGTCCCAACACATTGTCTCCGGTGAAGAGGGCATTCTCTTCCTCCAGCAGAAAGCACATGTGATCGAAGGCATGACCGGGAGTAAAGACAGCGCGGATAGTTGCGCCCTCTACTTGGAACTTTTGGCCATCGTGGATGGCTTGTTGGCCGAGATCCGGGGTGTTTTTGTACACCCGAGAGGACAGTTCGAGGTTGTAGCTGATGAGGTCGGGGACTCCACCGGTGTGATCGCCGTGCCAATGAGTGAGCAGGACGTGGGAGATTTCTAGACCGTTGGATTCCAGTTGTTCCTTGAGAGCTTCAATCCAGCTTGCTTCACCCTGTTCGGCGTTAGAAGTATTCATGGCAGGAAGGTATAGGTGGACTACCTGGCCGGTGTCAATGAGAATTCGGAATTTGCCCGTCCCCACGAGGTATGTGTTGGTTCCTTGCAGCTGCATGCGCCCGGGATTGCCCCCGAGAATGCGCATCACTCTTTCAGTGACTTGCTGGACTTCGGGAAGACGAGGCAGGTTGGCTTCCTGGCCGGACAGATATTCCTGCCAGAAGGACTGAGCGAAGGGGATACGGAAGGCCATGTTGAGATACCAACTCGTAGCGACTATTCACTCAATTCAGTCAATCCTGGATATGGTTGAACTGGGCCCAATTTGTTGTTCTATACTATCTTCAATGCTTCTATTCTGGTTCTGGAACGGAGTTTAATCGGACACACGTGGAGGCCATGCCATCCGAGCAAATCTGACATCAGCCCCATTTGTCCGTCCGATCCTGCCACTTTTCTTCAACATCCAATCCCACGAATCCTATCATTCCTCTCAGAGTACCTGAAACAAAGTTTAAAATCCGATTCTTATCTGCCGAGGGATCCTGCAGGATTCAGAATCAAAACCCGAGCCATGTCATTACGCCGTCCGACAATGGCCCCATTATGCATCGCGATGATGATGAGATGATGTTGCTGAATCGATTCAGCTTCATTGTCCGAAACGGACATGGAGGGATTCACGAAACTCGGTCGCAGATTCAGACTCAGTTTGCTGAGACGACGAAGGGTATATAGAGAGCATCAAACCTCGCCGTTGCTGGGAATCTCATCTCAGTCCAACACAGCACAGCACAGCACAGCAAAGCAAAGCAATTACCCCTCTTCTCAAAACAACAAACTCTCTCACTCAAACCAATCTAATTTAATCCACCGTTAATCACTATGTCTGCACCCACAAAGCTGGTCTTCTTCGGAAACGAATTCCCCAATGACGATCTCAAGTCCCTCTTCCGCGGTCTGCACCGACACGGCAAGGACCGGCGCTTTCGCCAGCTGGCAACCTTCCTGGAGGAGTCCACTCGCGTACTCCAGAATGAAGTTGCCCAGCTTCCCGAGCCGCTGAAGAAGCTGGTGCCCCATTTCGAAAATCTGATGCCCCTAACCGAGGTCGACTTTCGTCAAGGCCCTCTGGGAGCCGCTATGGAAAGCGCCCTGCTGACCATTCTGGAACTGGGAATGTTTATTGGCCACTACGAGGCTGAGGAGCGTGTCTGGGACCTCTCCGCAGACCGAACCACCTTGGCTGGTCTTAGTATTGGCCTGCTTGCCGCCGCCGGTGTCGCATTGTCCACTCACTTGGCTGAGGTGGTTCAGAACGGTGCTGAGTGTGTGCGGGTCTCCTTCCGCCTGGGAGTCTACGTCCATGACATCTCCCGCAAGCTGGAAGCTCCCCAGGCAGACGGCAGCTTGCTCAGCTGGGCTCATGTTGTCACCGGCGAGTCCGCATCCGACCTCCAAGAGGAACTGTCGCGATACAACACGGAAACGAGCACTCCCGAGCTGCTCAAGGTGTTCATCAGTGCTGCCGACAAGACTTCTGTGAGTGTCAGCGGCCCTCCCTCGCGCATCCGTGCCGCCTTCCGGGCCTCTCAGCGCCTGCGCTACTCTAAGTCTCTTGCCCTTCCTGTGTATGATGGTCTCTGCCATGCGGCCCATCTCTATGACGAGGAGACCATCCATCGTGTTCTTCACCCCGATGGATCCGTCATCCCCACCTCTCGGCCGGTGCAGCTGGCACTACTCTCGTCGCGGTCTGGACAGCCCTTTGAGGCCACCACGGCCGCTGAGCTGTTCCGCGCCATCAGCACAGAGCTGTTGACTGGCACTATCTTCCTGGACAATATCACGGCCGGTATCCTCGACCGTACGGAACGATGTGCCGATGCCACACAGTGCCAGATTGAGACCTACCGCACTTCGCTGGTATTCAAGGGTCTGCTGAAAGCCCTGGAGGCATGCTTCCCTGACCGGACCATCAACACCACCGATCTCATCCCCTGGGTATTCCAGGACTACGGTGCGCGCCAGCCCAAGTCATACGCAGACTCGAAACTGGCCATTGTCGGCATGGCCTGCCGCATGCCCGGCGGTGCTAATGATCTCGACCTCTTCTGGGAGCTGCTTGCACAGGGTCGCGATACTCACACGACGGTGCCTGCGGATCGCTTTGACCTTGAAACGCACTACGACCCGACTGGCGAGACCGAGAACGCCACGCGCACTCCCTTTGGCAACTTCATCGACCAGCCCGGGCTCTTCGATGCCGGATTCTTCAACATGTCCCCCCGGGAGGCTGAGCAGACTGACCCCATGCACCGTCTTGCCCTTGTCACCGCTTACGAAGCCCTGGAGATGGCAGGTGTGGTCTCTGGCCGCACGCCCTCGTCCAACCCCAAGCGCATTGCCACCTTCTACGGACAGGCCAGTGACGACTGGCGTGAGCTGAACGCGTCTCAGAATATCGGCACCTACGCCGTGCCTGGTGGTGAGCGTGCCTTTGCCAACGGTCGCATCAACTACTTCTTCAAGTTTGGCGGCCCGTCCTTTAACCTGGACACAGCCTGCTCCAGCGGTTTGGCTGCCGTCCAGGCGGCTTGCTCTGCCCTGTGGGCCGGTGAAGCCGATACTGTCCTGGCCGGCGGACTGAACATCATTACTGACCCCGATAACTACGCTGGTCTAGGAAACGGCCACTTCCTGTCACGCACCGGCCAGTGCAAGGTTTGGGATCAGTCTGCTGACGGCTACTGCCGTGCCGATGGTGTTGGCTCCGTTGTGATCAAGCGACTCGAGGATGCGGAAGCAGACAATGACAACATTCTGGCTGTCGTGCTATCCGCTGCCACCAACCATTCGGCGGAGGCTATCTCCATTACCCACCCCCATGCTGGCGCCCAGAAGGAGAACTATACCCAGGTGCTGCACCAAGCGGCTGTCAACCCGCTGGATGTGAGCTATGTTGAGCTGCACGGCACCGGTACCCAGGCAGGTGACGCTCAGGAGGCTGAATCGGTGTTGGATGTCTTCGCTCCCCGGACTCATCGTCGTCGGGCCGACCAGCCGCTGTACTTGGGAGCGGTGAAAAGTAACATCGGACATGGTGAGGCGGCCGCTGGTATTGCCTCCCTGCTCAAGGTGCTGCTTATGTATCAGAAGAACGAGATCCCTGCTCACATCGGTATCCCCACTGTCATCAACCCGGCTATTCCCACGGATCTCGAGCAGCGCCAGGTTCATTTGCCTCGAAGCAAGACTGCCTGGCCCCGGGCTGCAGGCCAGATTCGACGCGCCATTGTGAACTCTTTCGGTGCGCACGGTGGTAACACAACTCTGGTATTGGAAGATGCCCCTGAGAAGCAGGTGACTGTGGCCCGAGAGGAGCGCTCGACGCACCCGGTAGTCATCTCCGCCAAGTCGAAGAAGTCCTTGGCTGCCAACTTGGAGACTCTCCTTGCCTACCTCGACGAGAAGCCGGAAACCGATCTTGGTGACCTATCTTACACGACCTGTGCGCGGCGCATGCACCACAGCTGGCGCGTGGCCACTGCTGTCAGCGATATTCCCGCCCTGCAAAAGTTCCTGCGCAACGCCGTGAACAACGACGCCGTGTCTCAAATCCGGCCTATTCCCACCGAAGCTCCCCCTGTGGTGTTCACTTTCACCGGCCAGGGTGCATACTACGCTGGACTGGCACAGGGTCTCTTCCAGGCTCTGCCTTCCTTCCGCGCTGAAGTGCGCCAGCTTGACCACCTGTCCCAGCGACTGGGATTTCCCTCTATTGTGCCGGTCATCCTCGGCGAGGTGGAAGAGGGAACTGCTACGGCCCTGGTCACGCAGCTCAGCATTGTG